AATCAGAGTTTGAAATATCAAAGGTTTACAACATCGGGTTCTAAAGATATTGAGGCTTAAATATTTGATTTTGTTACAAAGACTCAATTTCTTTACAAACATAGATAATTGAAAATGTACAACATACTGCAGGTTTACAGAATATCGTGTTACCCGATATTTATTACATAGCTTGGTTAAAGTCTATCAGATCATTAACCTTTAGAAAAAGTATACTTAAGGAAAGGAGGATAACTATGAGACATGGCTTTTCAGTTATCAATTAATCTTATTGTGAATTTGTTTCATTTCCGAACATTTGTTTCTTCCCCAGGCTGAAATTTCATATTCTATTTATGATCGAAATAAAGAGTTGTAAATGGCTAGTTTAATATTACTAGGAAGAATATTTTTTACTCTTGACAATGCAAAAACTGCACTGGATGCTTTGTTTTTAACCGCCTTAAGATGATGGTTCCAGTTAAGATTTTCGTCTAAATGAACACCTCTACAAATTGAAAAGATTCATTTTACATCCAACTCCTACTCTATCTTCATCTTTATCATAATTTGCTTTAAACCAATCTTCTATTTTAGAGAGCTCAAAATTTTCCAAATCATACAAAGTAAGCTTTTTGAAGAAAGTTGCAGTGTTGTATCATCAGCAAAAAGAATTGTAAAAAATGTAGATGCTTTAGAAAGGTCATTGATAAGAATCAAAAATAAAATTGGTCCTAATATCGACCCTTGTGGTACACTACAGGAGAATACTTTAAGTGAAGAGTCAACACCCCTGAATGAAGTAAATTGTTTTCTTCCGTATAAATAATTTTTGAATAATAAGTTAGAAATCCTAGATGAACCAGTTTAGTGTGAAAGGGGGATAAAGTTTAGGGGGATCGAGAGTAGATATTAAGAGTTTTAAAAATTGAAATGATCAGAACAAAATACATTATATTGTGGAATATTTAGTCTTTACGTTTGTTGGCATGTAAATGCAATGAAAATTAAAAGAAATTACAACAAAGGAAATTAATAAATCAATTTATTTAAATGGACAAATTATTTTTATTACTCACAAAAAACTATAAGATTTATCTTGCTGAAGAGGAAGTTTAAGATTTTAAGATATTTTGAGTTGGCTGAAGATGTAATTTCAAGTCTGATTCAGAGCGGACCCTTTAAACTTTAGCAACAATTAGAACAACGATAGGATAATTTCCGTTTTACAAATCAAACCAAACTTGAAATAATCATTTATAGCAAGAAAAACGAGGTGAATCGGACATGCCAAATTATAAACAAAGGATCACTTGAAGTTACCCCTTTAAAGGTTGTTTTGTTAAGGTCTGCCATAACAAATTAAAGTACTTGATGACCTAGATTATAGTTTCGACGACTGATATATCAGAGAGTTTAATATGTATAGGTAGCATTAGTTCGTCAAATAAACATCAGTGGAAACGTAACAAACATTCCTTTGAAACTCCAGGTAAACAAACTTGTACTTTACCTACAATGTTTTAGTCAGGGGTTTATATTTTGTTGAAAAAGGAATTGAGTTTTTGCCACAAACTCTAATTTTCTGATCCCTATATCTTTGAAAGCTGATTGTGTAAACCTTTGATTTTTTCAAACATAGATCATTTAACCTATAACAATTCATAGTTTGAAATATCTTAGGTTTACAACATTGGGTTGCATAGATAATAGTGATTAGAAAGTCAAAATTTGAGGCAAAGACTGAATTCTTTTAGTGCTATGGATCTGGATCCATTGGATCCGCAACATTTTGTCTTCTGGATCCTGATCTAAATATCAACAAAAAACTGTAAACAACAGTTTTGCTCTCAAAACCTAAATCAGTTATTAAAAAAAATCCTTATCTCTGAATGGTTCATGGATCCGGATACTTTTTATCAGGGCGGATCCAGGAACCTTATCCGCATTAAAATGAGATAAATCCAAAGCTCTAAAAAAACTTTTCTCCGTTCTTTCGCCGCATGAAAAAATATGATGTTTTGCTGAAAAAGTCAGGGGAAAAATCACAGTAAAATAACTTGCCAAATAAAGTATTCGTCAAAACCTTTGTTACGAATATTAAATCCTTTTCTATCTTCTATTACCATATTTTCTATCTTCTATTACCATATTTTCTATCTTCTATTACCATATTTTCTATCTTCTATTACCATATTTTCTATCTTCTATTCGCAAAACGACTGGATAATATTCTGAATAGAATACTAGTCATATTAAACAATAGCAATAATTAAAATATAAAAAACTGTACATTTCTATTTCACTGCTGTTTATTACTATTGTACTGTTGTTCTATACTAATATGTACCGCTGTAAAGTGTACATCAATAATTGTGTTGCTGTACACTACCATTGTTTTGCTTTACACTTCTTTTGTATCACGTACACCTCTATGTATCTTCTATTGTATAGGAAGCAAGAGAACATCGGCACGGAATGGCAAAGGTATGAATATCTTTTAAATCAAATTCCGAAACTCGAAATATTTTAAAAGCAAGTTTTATTGAATTGAATCAGACTCAAAGTTTGAGAAAAATAATTTTTAGATTTTGAATTTGAAGCAGATGTTTATAAACTATTGGGTATAAGAGGAGTACGGAGATTTTTAAATGTTACTTTTTGTTATCAACCAATTAAATCGGGTTTACGAATTTAAATAATCAAACAAGTTTGGAATAAATCCTTATCCTAAAAAAAATCTTTGCAATATCATTTGAGTCTTGCTTAAAATAAGATTAACTGTTCGTCTTAAGTCACTTATGGTTAGACTGTATTCGTCATTTTAAGTGACCCTGTCTTTACAGATTTACATGGCTTTTTATTATTTGTATGCATATTTTTAATTTATTTTTAAGTATCTCTTTAAAGATTTAAAAACTACACTGTCTTCCTTATCGCTCAGACAAATACTTAAAGGGACCCGTTTGTCTTTTTAATTGAGAGTCTTTCTAAAGTTGAGAATCTTTTTTGAATTAACTGATCCAGCAGATCTACAAAAATGTAAAGTTTAGGCCTTGTACTCCAGAACATTCGCTTGGTTGGTGGATCATATAAACAAGTGCACTAACCCAGGTAGATATTTAATGGGGGTTTAAAAAAAAACAATAGATTAAACAATAAAAATTGTAAAAATCTATAAAATGATAATGACAATTATAAATATTAAATAATAATGATAATAAAAAAATAATANCCATATTCCATCTAATATATATGAACATAAATCAGTTACTGTCGTCATTATAAAAAAAAAATACAAGTTATACAACTTTTGTATAAGTTTAATAGAAGTACATATAATTCATATCTTTGTTTTAAACTGTTTTTATAGTTAGACAATTTTCTAGTAAAGCTAAACCCAGTAATATTTTCTATTGTTCTAAACTAGGATCATGGCAGTTCATGATTTTGAACATTCTCGATCTATTCATGTTTGGACCTTGATATCGTTGAGAGATTATTCCAAACGTTGACTTTATATATAATATCATTAGTTTGAAATATCAATCTTTGCGATAATAAAGAAATTAGAAAAAAATGTATCGGTTTTTTATTTCTGTAAAAGTACAAATAAATATCTTGTTGTTCAATTTTTTTGATCTTTTTAATTGGGAATTTGCTTCGAAGGAATTGAGTATTTTTCACAAACTTAAATTTTCGAATTCCAATATCTTTGCAACCTGATGGTTTACACCTAAGATATTTCAAGCTTAAACTATTTGTTATAACAGAATTCAAAGTTTGAAATATTTAATGTCAACGACATTGGGTTGTTAGGAGGGGTTACAAAATCAGAGCTTGTTGCAAAAACTCAATTCCTTTGCAGACATTTACTTTATTCTACATTATTATGATAAGTATGTGTTTTATTTAAACTTTACTCTTTTTTTGTTATTTAAATTAATATGATAATTGTAGGTGCCTTGAGCTAATAGATAAACCACCAAGGTGTATCCTTACTAGTCATATTAAACAATAGCAATAATTAAAA